GTTCACTTTTGGCTTTGCTACCGATATGCTAATATGATGTTGTCAAGAGTAAATGAGATTACCCATAATCTATGTAGAATTTTATTTATTGTTAAGGTACTAACCGGATGCAATAGTGTAGTAAAATGCTGAGAATTCCATTCTGTATGACAAGTACTGTTTTGGAATAAAGCAAATTATTATTGCTATTATTATTATTCTTGAAACGTGTGTGAGCCAATAATGGCAGATATTTTTATGATTTATTGAACTTTGTCACTAATAAAATAGTGATAAATTTTAACTTAGGACAAACTTCAGCTTTATGTCTTAAAATTAAAAAAAAAACACTCATATTGGCTTGAGATATTCTATCCAATCCAGTCACGTTTGCTTGAAATTGTCATCATTGTCATAGTAACATCATCTTGACTGTAAGATGATTGGTTAATTTTGAAATGCGTGGGTGGCAGTCATGTTAGGCACAATTTGATTGGTAGATACATCTGTATTGTGTTCGCGCTAAGCAAAAATATTATCACGTCTAAGTGACTATTATAAACATTCAAATAGCTTTCAATATTTATGATGGCTGTGAGATGATGTGGTCATTGAAAATGTAGGTTCTAGGGTGGCTAGTCATCTTCAGGGTCACAGATGTTAGTATTCTATCTCCTGTGTTATTATTATTTATTATTATTCTGTTGGGTTCCGGGTGGAGTATAGGGCTTCAACAACACATCTCCATTTTGTCCCGTTCTCTGCAGTCCTGTTTAGCTGGCTCCACGACTGCCCATAAGTTCTTATCTCCTCCTTACACACTCTCCTCCATGTCACCCTCGCACACATGTCCAACTTTTCATTTCCCGTTCGGGTTCCACTTGAGCGATGGCCTGTCGCGAGATGTCACCATCCCCCGCGGAATTGTAACTAGTTGGGTCTACACATCGATTAAAGGATGTGTTTAATACGCATCAGTTCACTCCGTCCTCCTTTATGACTGTGAGGCATGGCTGCTGAAAGTGGAAGATATGAAAAGGTTAGCTATCTTTGATCATACGTGTCCGTGTGTCATACCTCCCGTGTCAAATGGCATAATATGGTGAGCTGTGAAGAGTTTAGATGATAAGGGAAGGCCAATCGATGAGATTGCGAAGCTGCATCGAATAGGATGGCTAGGAAGCGTATTATGCATGCCTAGTCACCAGTTTCCTCGACGAGCAACGTCAGCTGACATCTGTATCTTTGTGTGCTATATTGTGTATGACAGCTTCAACTGGGACACTTCTATGTGCTGAGGTCTACGTTGAAACTCAGTCAGCCAGTCAGTCAGTGACTCATGGTAGTATATGTATTAACTTTCGATGGATGGATTGTGTTAGTACATTAGTTCAAGTTCTTTCACTTCGGAAAACCACAAAGAAGTTAGAAAAACAGAAATATACTTGCGATGAAGAGAATAATCAATGGGGGTTGGGGGTGGTGGTGATGGTGGTGGGACTTCCTTTTTGAAGCCTTACTGAATTTAATGAATGCCGAATAGGGAATACACTGCCTTCAGTTTGAATGATTTCTTGATCGTGTTATGAAGAGTTATGTTATGACGTTGTGTTACTGGCTTATGCATTCGTCTAGCTTGACTTGAATGCGTCTCCAGAACATGACCCTATGTCCTAACTGGTCCTATTCCCCAGACCCTAATAAGATAAGAAATTTAGAGGATATTTCAGCTATAACACTTTATACAATACTCGGCTCCCTTTCTCCTAGCTCAATAACAATTTTAACTTTATCAAATTTCTAACGTCTTTTTCCTTTGTACCGTTGAGTATTACGTAGTTTATGAGTTTTATTTCTGCTTTTGATGTCACTTCTGAGTAATTATACCAATTACGTTACCCCCCCCCTCATTACTCAATAATGGACTGCTATACATTTTTGGTGAGTATAAATGCGACTGTACAGCCTCTGAAGATGATTTCGTCGATAAAGAAAATTTTCTTCTCTGAATTGTCTTTAAATAATAATAATATTAATGATGACACGCACGACAAACATGTACAGAGTAATGACAACACCAACAATAAGGAATCTAAATCGTCAGTAGTAATTCCATACAAAGAAGGAACCTCGGAAACGACCTCACGGCTGAGAATTCCTAATAAGGCAGGAATAAAAGTGGCTGGTATCGAAACCACCCACAAACTCAATTAGAAATAAGTTTTGTTAGTTAAAGGATCCTGCCAATTGAGCCGATTAAACAAAACAATTTAGTTTATCTAATACCTTGTAGGAATGATTGTCAGGTCAAAGTAGTAGAACGCGGTCAGTCAGTCAGACTAGCGGAGCACAAAAGCCTAGTAGCATAATCTGAATTAGTTGACCTGGAGAATAGTTCAGCTATAGCACTCACTACATGCCATTGCTCACAACCGCAAAATAGAATAGTGGGATAAGATGATATTTACAATTGGTAGTGTTCTCTTAGCTGTTTGGTTTAAGTGTGGAGCTTTCGCCGTCCTTCTGGACAACATCTTCAGCGCAATTTTTAGCATAAAGTGAAATGATATTCTTGAAATCTAATGTAACAGCAAGGTGGAGGGAGAGATTGATAACGGAAGCTTTATGTATCGAATCAACTGAGAGAAAATATGTGTAATAGGAATGGCGCAACACCTGTCCACACAGACATTTGGAAAAATCTACTATCCCTACTACAACGAATAGGGAAGAATAAAGAAAACTATAAGACGAAAGTCCCTAAATTGTGTAGTTGCAATTGACAATATGATTATGAACAAAAATAATAAAGCTTTATTTGAGACAATATGCGAAGACATGAAACAAACATTTTCGAGTATTATTTTTGTAGGGATTTTATTTTGATTGGATGGAGGATTTCATCATGAGCACTGACATCAGTTAGAGAACCGCTGGAAAACCAGCTGGGAGTACTGGACAGCTGTAACCTTGTAATCAGAAGGTTCTGGATTTGAACCCTATTGGGGGTTGCGCACTGATGAAGAGTCACAAAATAGGCTGGCGAAACGGCTGTCCAGTAGTCCCAGTTGGTTTTCCAATGGTTCTCTAACTACTGATGCCAGTGCTCATGATGAAATCCTCCATCCAAACAAAAATTTTCTGCATATTCAGCCATAATCTGAAGTATATCTTCATTTCGTTGAAGAATTGCACAGCGTTTACTTGGAAGCAAGTTAAATCAGAACGCAAGTTCGTGTACAGGAGGTCATTTCATATAACCTGTTTATTGAAACAATGATAAATCCAGATGAAATTAAGCATTTTGATGGGAAGCAATTTCTCGGTAGCCCAGTGATTCAAGCAGGCCGCCCCTACATCCCTCCAAACGCTAAGCACACATGGTGAAGCAGCTCTCATTAAAAAGTATCTTCCCAATAATTCCATTCACAAGTTCCATCACGAACTCATTTCAGTTAGTGAACCCCTGAAAATCAGCAAGGAATGCGAAGGCAGCTGTTGTTGTCTGTTTGTAAGTTTGAAACTCTTCAGTAGTACTCATCTATGATTCCACAAGGGATTGGCGCACAGGACTTTCAGGTTACAAGACGAACTTGTTGACTACTCAGTCACTGGGTGAATGGAACTTAATGGCCATCGCATGAATTCTGACTTCTGCCAATTCTCGATGTATATTTAGCGCGACCACCAGCCAATGTTTTATTGGCGAGTATTTCTCTCCACATCTAACTTGGTCTACTTCACTGCTGGTGGTTATGAGTCCCTCTCCAGAACTTCTGGCAACTTCATCCGGTAATGAGTACTAGAATAATGTCCAAGTGTTTCGTTTTGCAGATTACTGCTACTATTATTGTTTGACTCAACAAAGTCACAAAGGTTATATTTAAAGGAGATAATAGTTTGATTTTCAAATGAATATAAAAATTCTGGTGTGGTTGCGTTCTCTGAGCTGGATAGTTAATTTGCGGAGCTTTCATCATCTGCAAAATAAATTGTAACAACTGCGCGAAAAACACTACATTGGCCAAAGTGGACGTCCCCTTCGTCTTCGTATCCACGAACATAAGCTAACCGTCAAAAGACATGACATCCACTCCGTCGCTCATATCACTACATATAGACAACCGCGGACATCATTTCGACTGGGACAATGTTCAAATATTAAACAGGATACGACAAGAATGCTGGAGAATTTTTAGAAGGTTACCTGGTATTCCAGTGAATGGTCAATCAGTAGACACATTGACATATACAAAATTTACTAATCGATAAGAAGGAAATCTCATACAAAAAGGGTCAAAGTCCAAGTCAAAGAAACAGTCAGTTCGAATACAAGTAGTCGCCTAGAAGGTGTGAAAACACACAAGTACGACCAATCACGAGGTTCAAGGTCACTAGGAGAGATGACTTGTAAACTCGTGGAGAAATCTAAAAGCTCACTTCAACAAGTTGAAGTATGCACTGAAGATGTCGCCTAGTAGGGTGATGAAAGCTTCGCAAGTTAACTATCCAGTTCAGAGAATGCAACCACACCGAAATCATTCACCTGAGCTACAAATCTTCCCCATCATATCTGAATATGAAAATTAACATGTGTAATGATATGAAATGAGTATTAATCACAAAGAGCACAGAAATCAAAATAATAGAGAATTACGAATTTGTTTGTATAATATGTATTATTTTTTTATTCCTTTACGTTCTCAGTGGAACATAAGGTGGTGGCTTAAAGCTAGAGCCAGCTTAAAGTTTCGGTAGCAGTGGGGTTTATTTTTTACTGGATGGGGTCGCTAGCCGGCCTCATGCCCAACCTCCCCTCTTCGCCAATCTTATTACTTGCTTGGGGATCGAACCCCGGACCACATGAGGCGTAGTCAGCGAGCATTCTACCGCTGTGCCACCGATGCATTATTTTTATTATTATGCATTATTATAATATTATTATTGTCCATAAACAAATTGTGTTTGAAACTTTGTCATCCAGTAAATACACTTGTGTTTCCTTATTCCCCTTTTTTTAGGATGCTTTCACTACTGGCATACTACCGATTCTATCCTTCTGGTTCTTTTGGTTTCTTATCATTTGGTTAATTTGTGCAATTACAATACAAATGTACTATTTAAATCGTGCGCTTGACTTATTCAACACAGGAGTGATTACACCTCTACTGTATGTATTTTTTACTGGTTTTGTCATCATTGCATCGGCTATCTTATTCCGTGAATTAAATGTCTTAGATTATATGGATTATATTGGTTTAATACTTGGCCTATTGTGTACTGTTCTTGGCATCTTTATGATAACTGTACTGAAGGTAAGTGATGGTGTGAGTGTCTTTTTGTGCATGTGTGTGTTTGTTGGTGTGAGTTTTCGAGATTTGTTTTTACGAGTTTGATCTCGGAGAGAACCATTGAAAACCAGCAGGAGGGGTACTGGACAGCTTTTCCGTCATCCTAGTTTGGGAATCATCGGCAGTATGCACCCACCACCATGGTTCGAAATAAGGACCTTCCGGTTACAAGGCCAGTGAGCTCGTATACCACTCAGCCACTGGGACCCCACCCGATTCAATGGCCAGCCCATGAATTCTAACTTCTACCAGTTCGTGCTGAGTTTAGCGCTACTACCAACCAATGTCATCGGTGGAAACTCCATCCTCACACTTGACATCTGGATGGACCTCACTGGTCATGACTTCTCACTAGAACTCCAGGAAACTCCGTCCTGTAGCAAGTCAGTCACTAGCGAGCATCAGATTAATTTTCAATAGTTGGTTTGCAAGGATTAGATTTGTTTTTTACGAGTTGATCACGGATTGATATCAGTTATAGAGAACCATTGAAAACTTGCCAGCATGGAGTACTGGACAGCTGTTTCTCCAGTCCTAGTTTGGGAATCATTGGCAGTACGAACCCACTGGAGTTCGAAACCAGGACTTTTGTTTCGCAAGTTCCTACTAAACTTGAGGAGAGGCCTGATTGTGGGTATGGCAACGTGTTCCAATACAACATGAGATAACTGTTCTTCAGTTATGTTTGTCCTTGGGTCTCAAAATGTACTTCTGAACATCTTACAAGGTTGGCTTTCACAGCTAGATATCGTCGATTTCTTGAAAGAAGGAGACAAAGCAGATATATCACAGAATGGAAGATGGTTTGTGCTTCAGTTCAGAGAGGGCATTGTGTCACAGGAAGGATATACCGACAATTAATTAATTAATATTTTACTTGAAGATATTGTACGAAGAGAGGAAATATCATGCAATAAACTCCTCTGAAAATACTGTACATTTTATAAATACTTTCCAGAATAAAGATATTATTATTATAATTATTACAAAATTCAAAAAGTAGTATTAATAAGGAGATAGTTGAACTTGGAATTATATTTAACGTAGAAGGACGAGGGGATGGAGAAGTTTCTTCTGTGTGCACATAAATCTGGCTTTTTAATCCAAATCACTAAGGCCGACATCCTAAAGAAGAGAATATCTAATGCGCTGAAAAAAGGAAACTTTCTCTCCTGCTACATTTCGATTTGTATTCTCATGTTGCCTACTGTTCTTCAACAGTTCTTAAGATATAATATTGCATTTGACCACTTCTATTTGTATCTACTAATTCTCTTACTCCTGTGAAGAGATATATGTACGTCATTCGATACGTTTTATTATTTAAAAGAGTCAAAGAACATTATTCTGCTTGCCTACAAAAAGGTAAAAGTGGATCATGAAGGGATACTGTAACTGAACGTATATTTCAGGATTTCATCGTGAAGTTAAATCGGTTAGAGGACCATTGGAATACTAGTACTGGAGCACTGGACACCTGTTTCTCTAGTCCTAGTCTGGGACTCTTCATCAGTACGCACCCACCAGCAGGGTTCGAACTCAGGACCTTCTGGTTATAAGGAGAGCTAGCTGATAGGCCATTTAGCCACTGGGACCCGTCAATCCAGTGGCCAGTCCATGAATTCCAACTTGTGCCAATTCACGACATAGCGTGACCGCTAGCCAATGTCTTCGGCGAGTATCTGTCCTCACACCCGATCTGCTACACCCCACTGGTCACGACGTCTCACTATAGAAGGCAAGAAAGCATGAATTATTACTATACAGGTCAGATTGTGTACAGGTCAAGGTCACAAATAATGGGTAGGGAGATGACGCAAAGGTGTGGGCAGGAAAGAAAGAAAAAAACAAAGAAGAAGTTGAACATCATCATTGAACAAAGCCTGGAATGACAGTTACCTCTCTATCTCAACTTCATCGACTTTGAAAAGTCCTTCGACAGACACCGTCGATCGAGAGGTGATTTGAAAACTACTTCGCTACTACGGTGTGCCACCGACAATTATACATCTCATCTAACAGCTGTACGACAATGCTGTATGCCAAGTAATCCACAACGGGAAACTTACGGAACCCTTCGAAGTAAGGACAGGAGTAAGACAAGGCTGCCTACTATCGCTAATGATTTTCCTGATTGCAGTAGACTGGATAGTGCGGCAAACAGCGGGCAATGAGGAAACAGGCATAAAATGGACTCACACAAAAACCTGGAGGATCTGGACTTTGCCGATGATATATGTCTGATTTCCCACAAACTGGAAGATATGCAAGTGAAAAGCAACAAGTTGGCGATAGAAGAAGCATCAAAGATAGGACTACCTTCAGGTGAACATAGAGAAAACAGAGGTGATGAAGATTCCTGGCCAACACCACCAACAGCAACAACAACAGACAACAATAAGCATAAATGGAAGGAACCTGAAGGAAACAACCTGCTTTATCTACCGACCTGGGAAGCATCGTCTCAACTACAGGCGGAACTGACGAGGATATCAAAGCAAGGATCGGAAAAGCAAGACAAGCTTTCACTACTCTCAAGTCAGTGTGGAGGTCAGCAACACTCAGCATCAAAAATAAGATCCGGATTTTCAACTCCAATATGAAGTCAGTGCTACTCACTACATGGATCAGAGACTTGGCGCGTCATAAAGAGCATCTCAAGCAAACTACAGACCTTCATCAACAACTGCCTTCGCTCAATACTACTCAAGATCAGATGGCCAGAAAAGATCAGCAACCGGGTAGGATGTCTGGGAGCGAACCAACCCAGCAGGAACCGATTGTGCAAGAAATAGGCAGGAAGAAATGGAGATGGATTGGCCATACTCTTAGGAAACCATCAAGTGACATCACTAGACAAGCCCTTGAGTGGGAACCGAAAGGGAAGCGGCGAGTTGGTCGTCCAAGGGTGACTTTGAGTAAGTCATGTGAAGAGGAGATGAAAGCGTGTGGGCAGACCTGGAGCCAGGTGAAGACTCTAGCAGAGAACCGAACGCAATGGAGACGCACGACTGAAGCCCTATGTTCCTGTAGGAATTAAAGGATACAATAATAATAATTAATTGAACCATGGTTCTAAATTAAATTACCAAGACAGGTTTAAAGTAATAACAAATAACTTTTGGACAGGCAGGTTCAAACCTTTTATGGCCAAGGCTTCAACGAATATAAGTATGTTATCCAAGCTTGTTTTAAATATGGGCTTAAAGGTATTACTGAAGTAAACCTTGTGACCCGTGTCTATGATGTACTTCGCTATAGATGATATTGGACACATCTGTTTCCGGGATCATTTGTATTCGGTGATTTTACTTGTTGTTTCAGCCACTTTGGAATATTTTCTGTAGCCCTAACCTGCAGAGACCAATGGGTCCTCCCTATGTACGTGTGTCCACACATACATGTAAATTGATAAACACAATGGGGTGGGACACTGTCATTCGGATGATGTACACAATTTCACCTGCATTGTAATCATTCATGCTTACTTGCCTTCTATATAACTTTGTATGACAAGTACGTGTGTGTGTGTGTGATCAAAATATTCGAAATGTGTTGCACAACTACGCACATTACATATTTCAGTTAAACACTACGTCTTCTTATAGGTGTTGTCGAAAATTACTCTTGTTATAATACCTTAACTTACTGAAAATTTCTGTTATTTTATGCCTTCATAGGATTTAAGTTTAACATGGACAAGTCTTCGAACAATTCTGTCTGGTGGAAAATATTCACCCTGTTATTCCTCAGCATCAAATGGTTCAATTGTCAATGGACATGTTAAACAATGTCATCGGCGTCGACGTACTGCTGCTGCTGGGAGTATACTACAGCGGAAATCAAACATTGTCAAGAAAACAACAAAATCACTTCATTGTAGACATTTATCAATCGATAAACTGAGTGCTGAAAAACTCATCTCTTCGAATCATTATTCAGATTCTGAACAAGCTGATAGTGAAATACTATTACTCCCAACAATCAATGACAATAATAACAATCATTCTTCTCATGTATTATCAGAATCAGATACATCGGTGTCAAGACTACGCACACCGCATGACTCACCTCGTTCGTATACTCCAATGAATAATAATGGCGCATCCAACGGCATAACTGCTATTGCTTCCAGTACTACCACTATGAATACTACTTCTACTACCGCTTCTACAATCGCTAAATATCCTACCACAAGAAATAATAATAATAATAGTGGTAGTAATAGTTTAAGACAATCGAAACAAGATTTATTAAATGTTTAATTTTGTCCAATAGGCGTTTAAATCATAGAGAGGCGCGTAATTCAAATTTCAAGGTCGTACACATGTTGTGTGCAGGTGTATCGCATTTTTGTTTGTTTTTTTCTTTCAAAGCCATGATCTTGCCTTTCAAATTGTTTGTTTTTGAATATTTAAACGTGTACACATTGGTCAAAAATGAGTTTGTTTTTAATTATCTGTGATCTTGTTCAATGTGTCAATGTGTTTAAGTGTGCTAGAAGGCGAGAGAGAGAGGGAGTTAGTCACAATATCAATTGTATCATGACCAATAGTGTTGTTCTCCTTCTTGTATACATATATAGAATAAACAATTACTGTATTCATAATTCACATCTTAGTTTTGTTATTATTATTATTATTATTACTTGTACTCATACTAATGTTGTCCTCATGCATGATGTATTTTTGTAATCCCACTGGTTGATGAGTGAGAGAGAGGGAGAAAGGGTAGTGTCTTATCGATCCAGATGAATGACTGGCTATGACTACTTTGACTTTGTCTCAGTTGTTTTAATCAAACTAAGGCTGTGAATGTGTGTGTGTCTGTTCTTGCATATGTCTGTCTGTCTATCTATCTTTGTATTGATTACTTCTCATTAAATAAGAGAGAGAGAAGAAAAGAGGTCAATAAGTGTGCACTGTGTATTTTAAGTTGACTTATTCGATTGTGTGTTGCTTGTGTTTATCGTACAGAAAAGAATATATATATATATATATATATATATACTTAGACAATCAATTGTTTGTGATTATTACTGTTATTCCTATTATTCTTAATAAATCAATAAATTATTTTCGAGGATTGGTTTGCAGAGTGATTTAATTGATTTCTAGATTGATCACGAACTGACTATAACTAACTCACTCACTCACTCACTGACATCAGTTAGAGAACCACTTAAAAACAGCTACAGGGATTACTGGGGAGGTGTTTCGTCCTCGGTTTAGGACTCTTCGGTAGTACGCATCTCGCACCTTCTTTTGGTTACATGGTGAACTCGTATACCAGTAAGTATATCAGCAAGTTGTTCGTAATCCAAGATCTTCTCTCTTGATTCAGTCCACCAGACAATCAGGAATATCATCGGGGATAGTGGACAACTCTTACTACTTAAAAAAAGCTTCACAAAGCTTTCTGTTTTGAATCATTTTGATATGTGCTGGTGTCATTATAAATCTGTTGAATGAGGTTTATAAAGTGTTTTTAGTTAGTCACTCTGTATTGCTGAAGTTGTCAAAATAGTTTATCGAACCTTTATTATTGTTAGACGGGTAATTGTGTATATTTAAAAATGCGTATTGATTCATATAAAATAAAAGGTGATCAGCAAAGAGTTACTCTTTTCGGCGATTAATGTCATATATAGAATAATTCATAAGATGTATAGAACTTGGAAAGAGTGTGCAATTATAGGATTAGTAGGCGAATCGAATAAAGTATAATAAATAACTTACGTAACATTGTGTGAAATTCAATAACAGAATTTAACGTTGCAAAAGGATTTAGAATGACAAGTGGAACAGGTGAAGTAATACCGAGGACGGTTCACAGTGAGAATAGTAATAGTAACAATTGACGTAATAAAGGAAGAGTAAGCAAATTGAATAAACAAAATGAAAAAAATTGGTAGAGCCAAAATATGATTAGAGATTACCATACTTTAGTATAGAGGGATTAAGACCATGAAAGTTGGAGGGGTTGAACGAACTTTTTCTATATACAAAGATCCAACTTTTCTATTTCGATAGCCAAAGCTTCAGCAATACAACAAATGAGTGCGATACGTAGTGATTTCGGTAAATTAATTTTCACCTTGTAGATGATTTTAAAGGTGGATGGTGTAGAGATCATTGGGTGATCATTATCAACCAGATGTTCAATGATCGTGCTTCTAATTGCTCCACTTCAACCTCTTCATAACAAGCATCCAGGATAGTGTTCTTGTGCCCTCTTCGGCAAAACTCGAGTTGAACGACCGATATACTTAGCTCCACACGAGCAGGTGAATTGATAAACGCACATAGAGTTGGTCAACAGCGGGATCTTGTCCTTCAGGTTATTGAACAGTAATGGTCGACTGGTAAAGGCTATTCTCAGGGATGCAGCAGGGAATGTTCTTTTCAGGGACTGTGATATTCTCCTTTTCATGATATCGGAAGCTAAGTCCCCTTTGAATTCCAAGCTCATGTAAAGTATTTTCTTAGGTACGGATAACAAGTCACGTTTCATAGGATTTGAATGTACATTCTTGTGTATAAAGCTTGGTGGAAATCCATTTTCTATTAGGATTTTCCTCAAAATATTTAACTCATCCTCCATAGTATCAGGGCTGTCTCCGGTATAATTTCACTTGTCATTCTAAATCAATTCTGTCTTGCAACATTAAATTCTATGTTATCAAATTTCACACAATATTTATTCGATTTGTCTACTAATCTTATAATTGCACACCCTTTTTCCAAGTTCTATCCATCCTATGAATTATTCTATATATGACATTAATTTGCTTTGCCACTTGACATTTAACTATGATTATAATCACAAACATTTTAATTGCACTTCTTACTATTATTATTATTTTATGCATTCACACCTATGATTTAATTCCCACACCGGATATAACTTCTTAAAAAAGCCATAAATATATGGTTGTACAGCTTGATGATAAATTCGTTGTTGAAAAGAGTCTCTTCGCTGAATCACTTGTTTTGATTTTCTAGATAATGACTAATCAATAAGCTCGTGTAGAATAGACAGGAACTAGTGAATGCCTAACTCCCCTTGGAAATTCATCAACAAGTATAGAAGATCTGAAAATCTAAGTGTAGTAAATTAAAGCACAGTAAAATAAGAAATCTGTTTTCATTCAAGTTGATTTTCGATGGCCGGAATACTTCTCTAGTCAGAACCCTGATCCTGCAGTCAAGTTGGTTACCGTTCGTCGAACAATAGTATGCTGTTTGATGCGATCAAGGGATGGTAGATACCCTACTCCTAATGTTAATTGTAATTGTGTAGGCAAGTTTGCATAAATCTGCGGCAGTAGTTACATTCGGGAGGTGGGTTGGGAAAGAAAGAAGGATATATCTTACGTCTCAAGAGAACAAATGCCTTAAACGGTACTATTGCCAGACGTTTTATCGATACGGGGAGTGAGGTGGACGACATTGTGAAATTCTTCAAGATTATTAAGAGAATATAATTCCATTCTCCTCAAATTCGTCGATGCAATCGATATCAAACGTATGAAACCTGATTTATGTGAGTGTTTAGAAAGATTCACTACTCAGTCATGCCTTACTCTGGGTAACGCAGCGGTCTAATCCCATCCTCTTGTTTGATTGCATAACCTTTTGCCTTGACGATATTTGTTTTGTTTCTTTGACACCACACTATTACGCAACTGATTGGTTACTTATCATCAACTTCTCATCTCTTGTCATGATTGTGAAACTCAATTTTCAATATATCCGACCGTTGATTTTCTTTCAGGATTTCATCATGATCTGACATTGGTTAGAGGACCGGATAAATTAATCAGGAAATATGTAAAGAAATGTAAAAATAAAATAAATAATGATAGTAGCGATAGTGATAATAACAATAATAATGATAATAATATTAATTACGATACCAATAATAAACAATCTAAATCATCAGTAGTAATTCCATACAAGGAAGGAACCTCGGAAGCCTTACGCAGAATTCTTAACAAGGCAGGAATAATGGAAGTGGCTGGCATTCAAACCACCACCCACAAACTCAATTAGAAACAAGCTTTGTCGGTTAAAGGATCAATCCTGTGGACCCTTTAAAACAAAAAGATTTAGTTTATCTAATACACTAGCATGCAATGATTGTCAGGTCAAATACATAGGTCAAACTAGTAGAACAGGGGCAGTCAGACTAGCTGAACATAAAAACCTAGCAGCAAAGTCTAGATTAGTTGACTCGAATAAGATAAGAAATCTACAGAATAGTTCAGCTATAGCACTCCTACATGCAATTACACACAACCATACAATAGGAGGATGGGTTAAGGTGACAGTTTTAAAATCTAATGTCACAGGGTGGAGGGAGAGATTGATAACAGAAGCTTTGTTTATCGAATCAACTGCAAATACCTGTCATAGGAATGATTCAACACCTGTCCCAGATGGATATCTGGAAAATCCTACTACCCCCACGACAAATAGGAGAGTACAAAGAAAACTATAAAACTCAAGTTTCAAAGTCGTGTGATTACAATTGATATGATTATGAACAATAAATTTTGTTCGAAACGTCATCCAGTAAATAATACTGTTTCACTGTGTGATATATCTAATAAACAAACTAATATGGTTAGAGGACCATTGGAAAACCAGACAGGGAGTACTGGACAGCTGTTTCTATTTTCCTAGTTTGGGACTCATCGACAATACTCATCCAATACTGGAGTTCGAAGCCAGAACCTTATGGTTACAACAAGATGAGCCACCTTGGGGACCATTCAACCTTTGGGACCCTGCTCAATTACCAGCCCATGATTTGTGACTGTTGATGGGTCTGAAACTAGGACAAAACAATCAGCTGTCCAGTTCTCCATGCTGGTTTTCCCTTATTCTCAAACTAATATCAGTCTGTGGTTAAACTTGAAAAACAAAAACTATATTCTGATTCTCGCTAGTGTTTGGCTGGCTACAAGGAGAAGTTGATTGCACTTCTAGTGAAAAGTTGTGACCGGTGGTGTCCATCCGGTTGGAAGTAAGAATAAATGACATTGACTCGTGGTCGTGCTAAATATGCCACGAATTGGTATCTACCAATTTAACTTCTCTTGTGGAGTGAGTCAGTTAGTTGCATAGGCCGTACAATTAGGCGTGTTTCTCGTCGAATTTCCAAACATCATCGCGCCCAGTGATTAAGTAAAGGACAAACAAAATCTCTTCGCAGCATTATTCTATCTCATCTTATGGATAGAGACAGAACACAAGATTGA